GATGATTTTATGAATCAAAACCCTCTTTCTTATTTTGACCAAGTGCATGTTTGTGATTCCTCTATTCATGAGTATTTGGACTCATTTGAGATTATGTCCCATTTATTTTGTGAGGTTCAAATGAAAAATAATGACATTTTGAGTGGGTTCATTGAGAATGCTTCATGGGAAAGAGATGAATTCGAGATGAATTTGCATCCATTCATGCATGGTTTTGAGATCTTAGGCTTTCAGATTTCTAAGGGAAATGTTGTTTATCGTCGTGATAGGGAATTGGAAGATGAGGTTGTTTCTCTTGGAGATTGGCTGTTTGAGGGAGATGTAGATCACGAGTGTTCTTCTTTTGAGAATTCAATGATTAATTTTCAATCCCTTATTAGTGATGAGAGGCAAGGTGGTGAAAATGAGATCATTTGTGAGACCATTTCTCCTATCCCCCCACGTCATCATATTCCATTTTCAAGAAAATTTGATCATGTTCCCTCCTATCCCATGTCACTCCCTTCTTTTCTCAAAGAGCCTATTGGGGACCCTCTTTCTATTTGTGATCTTCAAGCTCCCCACTCATCGATTATTGAGGAAAAGGGTGATTTTGCCACCAAAAAACATTTTAAGGAGAGTTTGCCTTCCTTTTCTTTTTCTTCTTCTTCTTCTTCTTCTTTTGTTGAATTTTCTTTTGATTCTTCTTCTTCTTTTTCTTGGCATCTCTCTCCTCATTTGCGTGCACTATCCTTGTTGCACGTTATCTTCCCGTCATTTTCCTACCTTCTTTCTTATGAAATGTGTAGTAGTGCATTTGATAAGCTCTTACGATCCTTGCAATATTATTTACTAGAGCGGTCAAGCTTGGACCTTAAGCAAGCCTTTCTCGGGAAGTAACCCGTGTTTATTGCTTTCATTTTTTTTTATTTTTAGAATAGTTTTTGGCCTCATGGAAATGTTTGTGTGCTTGGTGCTAGGTACATAACTTAATATACTCTTATGCATTGGTTTGGATCAAGAAGCAAGGAAGTTTGACTCCACTTTTGCTAGCACATGGAAAACAAGATTCAATTTTAGAGGTAGTCGGCTTCAAGAAGATTTAATTGGGTCATTTGCGGGTACTATACCCACCTAATATCCGGTAATATCCTTCCTTGCTCTTCCTCTAATGATTTGTGACTTGTTGGACATATGTTGCTTGGTTGGATGACTTTCTTTCTTTTCTCCTCCCATGGATTCTTTGGTTTAAAGTTTGAGCATGTTGCCTCATTCAAGCTTGGGGGAGGGTATTCTATCATGTTTGGTGGAATTTTGATTCATATATGCCATGCACATTTGTATATGCATTTCCATTTTCTTTATTTTGAAAATTCCAAAAAGATTTTGTTTCTATCAAGGCAAATTTACAATGTGTTTTGTTTTGTTCTTACTTTTGACATAATACACTTGGACTTGTATTCTTGAATGTCCTTATTCCTAAATTATAAAGGTATGCACGATTTGAGAATGTGTTAGGTTGACTCTAGGATATGATATGCTAAGGTAGTTGTTAAGAACTTTGAGACCATGAAGCCCTAGTTCACTTGCTTGTGGTAACATGGAGTTGCTCTCTATGGTGGATATGAAATCAAGAGTTAGTTATTGCTATCCCTAGTGAGGTAAATTGTTCAAGCCTTCATCATACCTTGTTGAGCGGCATATTTGAATCCTTGGCTATTGCATTCTCGTATCTAGAACTTGACTTTTAGCTCCCAAGATCGCGACCGTGCCACTTTAGGGGATGACAAAGGAATTTCTCTTTTTATAGGATAGATTTTCTATTTTTGAGTTTAGTTTATATTTGCCCCTCTTGCTAGCCCTTTTGAGCCATATTCCTTCTTTTCTCTAGCCACAATACAAGCCTTGAAGCCTTGGTTTCACTTTCTACCTTTAGTTTTGTGAAGCAATTTAGTTTTCGAGCTTGTTTTATTGTTTATGGTGCAAGTTTAGAATTATGAGTTTATTTGCAAAGCAAGTATGTGTTGTATATAAGTTTGTGCATAAAAGCAAATGCATTTTGAGAAAAAGTCGTCCAAAGTTAAAGAGGCAAGGACTTTTAAATGAAAAAAAAATGTCGAAAAAAAAGGTAAAAGAAGAATGAAAAGCACAAAATGATTTTGTTATAGTTTTTTTTTTTTTTCCCTATTTTTGTTAGTTTGTTTTAAATAAGCTTGGGGGAAATTTATTTTATGAGCATAGTTGGTACTTTTGTTTTGGATTCGTTAGGATCTTGTGGAAAAAGTTCCACCCGAGCTTCACATGTAGGTTTACCACCAATTTCAAAAGTTTTCCACACCTTTACTCTCCTAGCCTGTGTATTACAACCTTGAAAGTCCTTTTGATCCTAGAGGGTTAAGTCATTTAGTTGTGGCAGGAAATAGGAATCAAGCCTATAGAGCGAGTTTGCATAGCCAAGATGTTGGGTAACCTTCTCATGTTTTGAATTTCTTACTTATTTTCCGGTTCCTTCGTGGAATCATGAGAAGCTAACTTGAAAGTGGATTTGAAACTTGTAGAGAGGTTGTGGTTTGATTAGTTGGAACAAAAGGTGGAATATGTTTCCGTTAGTTCTCTATGCTTAGCATATGCTATGTTTCAATCAACCTTGGACATCTTAGAACGTGCATACCTTTATTTTTTTTTAGAAAGATTGACATTCTTTAGTGCTTGTTCCATTGTAAAATCCACTTAAGAACGCTTGTAACCTCTCTTTTACTTCAATTTATTTTATCTATTTGTTTATTGCTTTGCCTTGATTTTTGTCAAGAGTTATGGGTTAAACTCTTAGGATACCCTTACGAGAGCATACTCGTCCTCTAGAGCGATCTATGGGGTTTAAAGTGCTTGATGCATGCGCTAAATGCATTCGTGATTCCTACAAAAGTGAGTTAGTGTATATTCTTTCTCTTCTAGTTTTATTTTATTTTATTCTTTTTTTTAAAAAAAAAAAATACATCGTTTTCCGTTGTGTTTGTTTTGTTTTGCTCGAGGATGAGCAAAAGTTAAGCTTGGGGGTGTTTGATGAGTGACATTTATGTTACCCTTAGGGGTAGTGTATTGGTCTCTTTTCTCCTGTTTTTCTTAGGTTTTTCTACCTCTTTTCTCCTCTTATGGCTTCCTTTTTTTTTATGGATGAAAAGTATGCTTATTTGCGCTTGTTTTGATAATCTTTATGCATAATTTTATCATCCCCATGCTCTCGTTATCTTTGCTATCGTTTGCAGGTTCCATGGCGGTCCTAAGCACAGTAGGAGGCACCTTGGCCAAGTATGGAGGCATGGACAAAGACAAGAGGAGCAAAAGGGAAGGAGAGGAAGCAAGAAGAGGAAGTTCAAGAGGAGGTGTGGCCGAACCTCTAAGAGGTTCGGTCTAACCAAGGTGTGGTCAAACTTTTGAAAAGTTCGACCGAACCTCCAAGGCAGTTTCAACCAAGTTTTCAGCATGTTTACAGGAGGGGTCGAACCAGGAAAGTTCGACCAAACAAGGATCAGGGAGGTTCGACCGAACCTACCCTGAGTTCGGCCGAACCTACCCTGAGTCCGACCGAACCTACCCAGAGTTCGGTCGGACCTTTTCCCGTTTCAGCTGACTTTTTGCGGAGCTTCCTAAGCAATTTTGTAAGGGGTATAAATAGATTTTTTTTGCTCATTAAAGAAAGAGATTTTTTTAAGTTTAGAACAGATTTTAGGTTAGTTTTAGGTTTTAGAGAGAGAAACTCTCAAAATTTTAGAGAGAGAAAGTGAGGAGCACAATGGTTTTCATGGATTTTGGATAATCAAATGAGGAATTTGAAGATCTCCATCTTATATCAATGAGCATTTCTTACTTTCTCTTCTCTTATTGCTTTATTTAGTTGCTTTCATTATGCTTGAGTAGTTTCCCTTCTACTAGGTATTGAGTGAGGCTTTGTAATGATTATTTGAGTTATTTGAGATAAATTTGATGATAATTGTGTGATTAAATTGATTGAATTGATGTTGGCATGTTGTTTGTTTTAGATTGGATTGATCTCCCATGATAGCACACTTAATTGCATATTGGTTTTAGTTTGACAAGGGATTGTGAATTAGAATTGATATATTTGATTGCATTTTGGGTAATTTTCTTCTACGCACCTAGTCAATGAGGGATCTAGGCTAGGAATTTGAGAGATTACTTTTTAGTGTAGTTAATTCTCATTATAATTATTTCTTTGCATGATTGATTATCAAATGGATTCTCATTAGCTTATTAATTGTTCTAAGTGGATCTTTTCCCCTAGTAGACTTTATCATACCTTGTTCTTTATATGTGTTTTAGTGTAGTTGTAGTGTCCTTTATCCGTAAATCGACTTCGGCATAGCTTAGGCATTAGATTAAGAACAATCTAGCATTACCGTTCCTTGTGGTTCGACTCCGAACTTACCACTAGACTTGTTTAGGGGTTAGTTTTAGGATTTATAAATTTATTTGATTGAGTGTGGAATGTGCGACCGTTCTAACGCCCATCATCGGGCGCGCCATAGTATTGTCAGTCTGAATTTTTTTCTTTTTCTCTTCAAAATTTGGCTAACTCTTTTTCTCCAACCTGTACAAAATACTCTAAAACACATTAAATTCCCTCCTCTTTTCCTCTCAAAAGACAAAAAATAAGGGAAAATTTTTTCTATAAAGCAAGAAAATACGGGTTGCCTCCTGCAAAGCGCTGGTTTATCTAGGTCTTGCATGACCTTCTTACCATATGTCGTTCAAGACGAGATAGAACCGATTAGGTGAAATAATTCAACTGCACCAACTGTAGCCCCTTCATGGTATAATTTCAATCTTTGGCCATTTACCTTAAAATCACCACCTTGTTCATCATATAACTCCATAGAACCGAATTTGTTTGCCTTTTTAACAATGAAAGGACCCGACCACCTTGACTTTAACTTTCCTGGGAACAGTTTAAGTCTAGAATTGAACAACAAAACCTGATATCAGAAGATCATCTTGTCATGTCATTTCTTGGTCTTCTCCTTGTAGACACGTGCACTATCATAGGTCATCAACCTAAACTCATCTAGTTGGTTAAGTTGAAGTAACCTCTTCTCTCTCGCTAACTTAGCATCCAAATTGAGCTCTTTAATTGCCCAATAAGCCTTATACTCCAATTCCACTGGGAGGTGACATGCTTTCCCATACACAAGTCTATAGGGGGAAGTACCAATGGGGGTCTTAAATGCAGTTCTATACGCCCAAAGAGTGTCATCCAACTTATCGCTCCAATCCTTCCTAGACTTTGCTACCACCTTCTCTAAAATAGCCTTAATCTCACAGTTAGAAACCTCAACTTGGCCACTAGTTTGGGGATGGTAAGCTAAACCCATCCTATGTTAGACACCACACTTTTTGAGAAGGGTATCTAACTTTCGCTCATGAAAATGAGATCCTCCATCACTAATTACGACTCTAGGGACTCCAAATCTAGGAAAAATAGTTTTCGTGAAAAGCTTATGAACCATCTTGGCATCATTGGTGGGTGTGGCAATGGCTTTAACCCACTTAGACATGTAATCAACGGCGACAAGGATATAACGATTCCCTTTTGATGAGGGAAAAGGTCCCATATAATCAATACCCCAAACATAAAAAATTTCAACTTCCAAAATACTTGTTTGAGGCATATCATGCCTGTCTTAGTGGGACCATGGTGTCCTCCATATGGTGAGTTGTGGCATCTTGTAAGTACACCATGAAATTCCCATTCGGGAACACACCAGCGAAATAGTACATCTGCACACTCACGAAACAAAAAAGGATCATCCCAAAAATAATGTTTAACATCATAAAGGAACCTCTTTTTCTGTTGGTAGGACAAATCAGGAGGTAGAGTACCACCCACCAAATAATTAGCATAATAGGCATACCAAGGGTGTTGCTCTACAATTGTAAACAAGTGGTCATCAGGGAAAGAATCGTCTATAGGAAGAGAATCCTTCCCGGCATCATACCTGATCCTCGACAAGTGATCTGCAACCACATTCTCTGCTCCCTTTTTATCTTTAATTTCTACATTGAAATCTTGGATCAAGAGAACCCAACGGAGGAGCCTAGGATTTGTTTCCGGCTTAGCTATAAGATATTTCAGAGCTGCATGATCAGTAAAGACAATAATTTTAGAACCAACTAGATATGATCTAAATTTTTCTAAAGCATAAATCACAACAAGAAACTCCTTCTCCGTGGTGGCATAAATGATTTAGGCTTCATCCAAAGTTTTACTTGCATAATAAATAGCATGCAAAACTTTGTTCTTTCTTTGTCCCCAGCACGAATCCTACTGCAAAATCACTGGCGTCACACATAATCTCGAAAGGAAGATTCCAATCGGGAGCTTATATGATAGGTGCCGATATCAAAGCCTGCTTAATCCTGTTAAAAGCCTCAAGAAACTCGTCAGTAAAATCAAATGGGGCATCCTTGAGTAAAAGCTGAGTTAGTGGTTTAGCAATTTTAGAAAATCTTTGATGAAGCGACGATAAAACCTCGCATGACCTAAGAAACTTCTAAACCCCTTAACATTAGCTGGTGGAGGTAATTGCTCAATCACAGAAACCTTAGCTTTATCTACTTGTATACCCTTATTAGATACAATATGACCTAGAACCACTCCTTCTGTCACCATAAAGTGACATTTTTCCCAATTTAGGACCAAATTGCATTCTTCACATCTTTTCAAAATTTTAGTGAGATTAGCTAGACATGCATCAAAAGAAGACCCATACACACTAAAATCATCCATAAAGACTTCCATGATAGACTCTATGAACTCAGATTAGATACTCATCATGCAACGATGAAAATTAGCACGGGCATTACATAGACCAAAGGGCATCCTACGATATGCAAAAGTACCATAAGCACATGTAAATGTGGTCTTTTCCTGATCTTCAGGGTGAATCGGAATTCGGAAAAATCCCGTGTACCATCTAAATAGCAGAAGAAATTTATGATTAGCTAACCTTTCTAACATTTGATCATTAAAAGGGAGAGGGAAGTGATCTTTCTTGGTGGCAATATTTAATCTACGATGATCAATGCACATACGCCACTCTGTTACAATTTTAGTGGGAATTAATTCATTTTTATCATTTTTAATCACCGTCATCCAACCCTTTTTAGGAATTACCTGTACAAGACTCACCCACTTTGAGTCAGAAATAGGATAGATAATACCTGCATCAAGTAATTACATAACCTCTTTCTTAACTACTTCCTACATGTTAGGATTCAACCTTCTCTGGGGTTGAATACATGGTTTATGATTGTCCTCTAAGTGTATCATATGCATACAAAAATCAGGGCTAATACCCTTGAGGTCATCAATACTGTACCCAATTTCCCTTTTGTGGGTTCGAAGAACCTCAAGAAGTTGGGAAATTTGTGGGTCATCAAGTGCAGTACTAATGATCACAGGGTTTAATTCCTGCTCATCAAGAAATACATATTTTAAATGAGAAGGGATAGGTTTTAGTTCAGGTTTCTTAACCTCTGCAGGTTTTGATTCTTGAACTAATTTTACTACCTTCTTGCTCTCTGTAGGGTCAAGTTCTTCGAGTGCAAGAGCTTTCTCTATAGCATCCACCTCTCTGCTCCAAATACCAATATCACTTGTAGTAAAATCACCACAAAGTACTTCCTCCAAGGGATCCCTCGCAAGGATCTGTGGTAAGCTATCTTCACAAATAACATCAATCACATCAATCACATCAATACTACAACAATTTTCCTCTAACATAGGACCTTTCAAAACTTAATTTCCATAAATTAAAGGTGATATTATCATCTCCGACAGATAGAGTTAGTTTTCCATTTTTTACATCAATAATGGCTCCTGCAGTGTGGAGGAAAGGTCTACCTAATATTATTGGAATTTGTGTATCCTCGGCCATGTTTAAAACAACAAATTAACAAGGATAAAAAACTTACCAACTCTAACAGGGACATCCTCTAGAATATCTAAAGGGTATTTAACAGAATGGTCTGCCATTTGCAAAGTAATGTTAGTAACTTTTAAATCACCCATATTCATCTTAGAGCATAGAGACGATGGCATAAGACTAACACTAGCACCCAAATCACATAATTCTTTATCGATGAAGACATTACCAATATGACAAGGAATAGAAAAACTGCTAGGATCCTTTAATTTAGGTGGAGATTTATTTAGCAATAAAGCACTACATTCCTCTGTAAAAGCTACAGTCTCTACCTCACTAAAGGCTCTTTTCCTAGTCAAAATATCTTTCATAAATTTAGCATATGTAGGAACTTGTGTAATTAACTCCGTGAAAGGAATTGTTACCTGCAAGTTTTTCACAACCTCTAGAAACTTACAAAACTACTTATCCAACTTAGTCTTCAATTGCCTATTAGGGAAAGGTATTTTGATAAATGGTTTCTTTACATCTCCACTCCTGTCTTGAGTTGTAACTTTCTTTGGAGTTGTACCCTGCAATGTATCATTAGAAATGTTAGTTTTACCATGTAGCCCTGCAGGGCTAGTAACAAGATCATTTGGTATAACAGAGTTAGGATTAGAAATTTTTGTTAAAACAGGTTCATCATCCATATGCATAGGAGGCCCATCATAGTGTGAACCACTCCTCAGAGTAATAGCATTTGCATGATCTGTAGGTTGTACTGGCTACAATGGTAGGGCTCCCTACTCGCGAGTTTGTAGAGTAGAGGAAAGTTGCGCAATTTGATTATCCATAATTTTACTGTGGGCTAAGATTGAATCAATTTGTGTATCCTTACTTTGCATGTGTTTTTTCATACTTGCTAACATCGTTCTAATTTCTGACAAGGTAGGGTCAGTAGGTAGAGGTGGATTTTGTGGTTGGGCCCTTTGGTTAGGAGGTTGGTAATATTTTTGCTGTGTTTGTTGTGGTGCTTTTTGTTGTGGTTGTTGTGGAGGTGGAGGGTTTTGCACATTGGTACTCCGGTAAGAAAGATTTGGATGGTTTCGGAGACGAGGATTATATTTGGAGTATGGGTTATTTTGCCTATACGTTTGGAAGGCATTAACTTGCTCCATGGAACTCCTACAATCTTGTTCCCAATGACCTACGATTCCACAATTTTCACAAAAAACATCATTAGTATTGTTATTAACAGAAGAAACATTAGCTACGAAATTAGGAATAGCAGTAATAATATTATCTAATTTTTGGCAAATTGCGGTTAATTGATCCTGCACAAAGGATACAGAATCGACATTATGTTTTCCCTTGTTTGCAAAACCTCTTGGATTCCCGTATTGGGAATTATGAATTGCCATTTCTTCAATAACTGTTCCTGCTAGATCTACTTGGAGATTCATGAATCTTCCATTGGCTGCTGAGTCAAGAATTGATCTAGATGAATTTCCAAGCCCGTTGTAGAAGGCTTAAATTATCTGCCACTGTGCTAGACCATGATGTGGGCATTCTCTTTCCAAATCCTTAAATCTTTCCCAAGCTTCATATAAACTTTCATCAACATCTTGGGCAAAATTTTGGATTGAACTCCTTAACAAAGTTGTCCTCTCTCCAAGGTAGTATTTATTATAGAAATTCAAAGCAAGAGTATCCCAATCGGTAATACCAAGTACAGTTCTATTTAATCCATTGTACCATAATTTAGCTTTACCACATAAAGAAAAGGGAAAAAGAATCTCCCTGATTTGGTCCTACGTGACCCCAGCTTGCCTAATAGTGTTGCAATATTGGCAAAAATCTGAAATATGAAGATTTGGATCTTCACCCTTAGCTCCGCTAAATTTCTTCCTTTCGATCATAGTAATAAATTGGGGTTTAATCTCGAATTGTACTCCCTTGAGATCAAGTGTAGGAGCAAGGTGTGGAAAATCTTCAAGAAACAGCTGCAAATAATTGCTGAGCTTGCGAGGTGGTTGAGCCATCACTGATTCTGGTTCTAAAGAAACTTCTGTGTCACTAGAATCAGATGGGGGTTCCAAAGGTGTATCGCCCTTGGAAGTAGCTCGTACCTGTTTAAAAAGGTTCTTTTGTCTATGAAAAGAACGTTTGATTTCAGGATCAAATGGAATGTAACCTGATCTAGAACTCCTGGGCATAAACACAAAACTTAACAAACAGATACGAGAATTTTTCTCAAAGAACTTGCGTTCTCCAAGACTAAAGAAAATAATCTAGACTACAGAAATAATTAGAAATAAAAAACAAAACCGCTTCCTCGGTAACGGCGCCAAATTTTGACAGGCTAAAGTCGTATCACCTAATCTAAAGTAATTCTTAAAACCACTAACTAAAATAGATAAGGAAGTAGGGTCGAATCCACAAGGAAACAAGTCTTTCGATTCCTA